GCTGTGCCTGGCTTGGGTCTGGCTGCTGTGCTCAGTTCCTTCCTGTTGTTGCCCTTGTGGGTGAACCTGGTGTGCCCCTCTGACAAGATGTTCTGCTCCTGGACTAGCTGGGTGGTTCTGTTCCCTACACTCACTGCAGGGATTGCAGCTGCAGGGTTTCACCCCAGGCCTGTATGCCAGGCCTGAGCTGAGTCTGGAGGGGACAAGGTGGAATAGGGGGGAGAGGCAGCTCTCCCACACACTCACTGGGCCTCGACTAAGACTGGATCTGGGGGTTCCCAGAATGTGACAGAAATTCCTACTCTGTGGGCAGGGTATGTGGGGGGTACTATGGAGTGATGGGGTGCGTCCCAAGAGGGTGAAAGCGGGTGTCACCCACGCTGCACCTGGGCTGGGACCAGTAGGTCCCGCTGGCACAGGGTAGCTGACAGCTCTCCCACACACTCACTGGGCCTGGGCTAGGACTGGTCTCATCATGGATGGATTAATCTGGCCATGAGCTCTATAAGTACAGCAGTGTATCTTGGGTGCTTTGTTCACCTGGATATGTTCAATAATCAGAGAATCTACATCTAAATCCTTAAGCTCAGCATTACTCTGCATTTTTAAGCATGTGCAGCAAAAATTCAGCACTCTTTTTGGGCCACCGACCTTGTCCAGCCCCACCACTTAGCCTGGGCACACCTACCTACTCCACCATTGTAATACCGGGATGGCACACTTTGCTTCTTTAACGTGACACCCTTCAGATACTTGGTGGCCTTTTGGATATGCATACCCTTGATGGCCTGGGCAGTTTCACACGTGTTCTTAAAGTGAACGTGAAGATTTGAGCCTCTTGATTACATGATTTTGTGGGGTTTTCTGGGTTGAGAGAGCAGCTAACCATTTTCACCTCAGGCCGCTCACAAGAAGCTCTTCTTTCTTCGGTATGCAGAAATACAATTTGAATATTGACTAACACAATGTCTTACAGATTTTGTTAATACAGAAAAAAAACTTGCTTACCATAAAGTTGTAGCAATATTTATTAGCCCATGCCTTCTTCTAGGAACTTTACAGTTTAGGCTTTAACATTAAAGTCTATGGCCCATCTCTAATTCACTCTTGCACATGGTGTGAGGTAAGAATCAATATTCATTTTCTCCATAGTGATATCTAGTTGTTCCAGTGCTATTTATTGACAAAGCTTTTCTTTCTCTATTGAACTCCTTTGACAACTTTATACCAAATTAGTTGACCATAAACTTGTGAGTCTCTGTATGGAGTTTCTGGTCTCTGTATTTGTTCCATTGATCTATTTGTCTATTCTTACATAAATGTTACACTGTCTTAATTATTGCAGCTTTAAGTAAGTCTTGAAATCAGTAAATCATCTAACTTGCATTTTCTGGTCTGTTTTTGCTGTTCTAGTAATATATCCTTCCTTGTAAAGTTTAGAACTCACATCTTAACTTTTATTTAAAAATTGTGCTAGGATTTTTAAATTTAACTTTTTTTTTTTGGAACTGGGGATTGAACTCAGCCCCTTGCGCTTGCCAGGGAAGCGCTTATTCCACTGAGCCATTTCCCTAGCCCTGTGTTAGGATTTTTATTATAATTACATTAAGCCTATAGATTTATTTTGGGAGAGATGACATTTTAATATTGAGGTTATTCATCTCTCTTTTTAATCAGCCCTTGTGAAATTCTATTAGCAATATTTTTATTCAATGTAGATTTCTTATACATCTTCATTCAATTGACCTCTAAGTATTTGATGTTTTTACCATCTTATAATAGTATTTTTAAAAAGTCATTCTTTGAATTGTTGCTTCTTTCAATCAATGCAACTGATTTCTGTTTATTGACCTGGTATCCTATAATACTATATTTGTTGGAATAGGTTCTTTTAAATTTTATATTTACACTATCACATCAGTAAAGGTGTTATTTCTGTCCTTTTCATTTTCCTGCTATATTGCACTGGATAGGATTTGCAGAAAAAATATACAATTTGCCTCTATTTACAAACAGCCTGGTTGAAACACGAGAGTCTGATTCCAGAACACCCTAGATGAGTGGGACGACGGTAAGCACCTGTTGTTGTTAAGAAATAACTGAGATATATCTAGAAAAAGTAGTGACACCCAGAAGTCTTAGGTATTTGAATTGCATGCTGCAGATAACGAAGCATCATTCTTTCCAAGTAGGAAAGCAACAGTAATGTGGGAAGACAAATCTCGCGACAGCATGCAGTGTGGCCTGAAGGGAGCCAGGTTATGCTTTCATGTACTGATTTTGTGATTATTGATTAAGCACGTATCATGTTCTAGGAATTGTAGCTGCTGAGGATATGAAGATACTGCGCTGCTTAGAGTGGTAGAGATGCTAAGTGATGGGAACAGAACCGCAGCAAATCTGTCGGGCACGCAGCAGGGGCATCTCCATGAGCCCACACAAAGGAGTCTCACTGAACATCAGTTTTCATAGATGTTAAGTGGGATATATATATATATATATATAGATAGATAGATAGATAGCCTCCTTTTATTAAAAATGAAGTTATGTAACATGCATGATTGATATTACATACTTGTTTATAGTAATTTTAAACTTCGAAGGGATTTAAGAGAGCACAAACACAGGAACAAAACATTTGGTCATATGGTTGTTGTGTTTAATTATCAAATTGCCAAATACATATTTAACTGATTTCTCCTAACAATTATAGTTTTATTTCTTTTTTCCCATAATTTTATTAATAAACAAATAGCAATGAGACAGTTTCAAATCAAATTGGTAGGACAGTTTCAATAATTACACATTGCATACCTTCTTCCTAGTGGTTAACTGCTGTACAAGATGCGGACATGATATACTATTTACAAACACCATTAGAATTATAGTTTTAATAGAACGAATGTGTTTGCTTTTGAATTTGAGAATGAAGCAAAATAAGTATGCTACACAGATTTAACCAATATACTAATATTCTTCTACACTATAAATGAACTTGATGGCTAACGGAGCAAACCTACACTATTTCGAGTCTGGCAGCAATTACACAGATGAAGAAATGAGCAGTCAGTGACTCGTCTAAGGTCACACGCTAAGTAACGGCTGATTTCATATCTTGCTGTTTACCTTCTATGGCTCTGGTTACCATCTGTTATACTCTATATCAGATTGCACACTAGGAGGTTAATAAAAAATGGTACAGAATCTCCTACTTTTATTAAGCAGTTTCTGAATGAAAAAGTGAGTTCCATTAAAATTGAACATGGAAGTTAAAGCAGACAAAAAATAAATTCTTGGGCCCGGGGAGATGGCTCAGTGGAATAAGCACTTCCCTGGCAAGCGCAAGGACCTGAGTTCAATCCCCGGTTCTGCCAAAAATAAATAAATAAATAAATTCTTGTTCTTATAGCATTCATATTATCCTGATTTTTCTTAGGTATTGCTAAATATATACACTATAATTTACTCTTTTATGTTGCATTTTGCAATTCTGTTTTTCTTTTAGGTTTTGGCCATCTTTGCCTCATCTATCTTACCTTTTTTTTTTTTTTTTGTATTTAGGACAGGGTGTACAGGGTGTTCAGCTGTCTCAGTGCATCCTGGGGGTGGGGCCCGCACGGCAGGCCCTGGGATCGAACCCTGGCCCTTGCATCTGCCTAAGCAGGTGCTTTAATCTACTGAGCTATTTGGCTGGCCCTGCCTTGTCTATCAATAGTCTGTCAAGTTTCTGTTTCTACTGAATTTCAGTAATTTCCTTCCCCATTATGATTTGCACCCACATTTTTTTCCTTATTGGGTTGTTCTCTCTTTGTAACAACCCAGTTCCTATGTCTTTGCTTTCTTTTTTCTTCCCCTCAGTAAGCCAATGTCTTTTCTATCTCTTATGGCTAATTTAAAATATATAATTACTTTGAGATTTCACAGAAATCTGAGTTCCTTCAAAATGTGGGAAATGTCTATTACAAAACTGTTTTACGAGCATGAGGTGTGGAAGGGGACATGGGGATTGGGACAGGCAATACAGTAATGTGGCCCCTGTATTCCGCATCTAACTTTGTTACCTATGGTCAACTGAGATCTGAAGATAGTAAATGGAAAATTTTAGAAATAAACAATTTGCAGCCAGTCACAGTGGTGCACACCTCTCGTCCTAGCACTTAGGAGGCTGAGGAAGGAGGATTACTGGGAGATCAAGGTCAGCCTGAAGTACACAGTGAGACTCTGTCACAAAGAACCAAAAGAAGAAAAAAAAAGAAGTGACTTATTAAGTTTTAAATTGCCCCCCCTTCTGAGTAGTATGTCACCTTGCCCTGTCCTGCTCTGTTCCACCTGGGCCATGAATCATCCCTTTCTTGCCTAGCCACGTTGCGTGTGGTACCCACTTGTCAGTCACTTAGCAGCCCTCGGTTATCAGACAGACCGTTATGGTGGTACACTGCTTGTGTTCACATAACCCTTGTGCTGCTGACCAGCAGCCTCATGCTCACAGTACAAAAGAGTAGTGTGCTGACAGCCCAGCTAGGTCAGAAAGGCAGCAAAGTTGGTCCTCGAAGGATAAAGGATAACATAGAATAAGATATTTTGCAAGACAACAACTGAGCATTCACGTAATTTCTCCTAAAATATAGCTATGTGTATTGTTCCATTGTTATTATTGTTAATCTCTCACTGTGTCTAATGTAGACATGAAGCTTCATCATAGGTAGGCAGTAAAGGGAAGAAAGGACTACAGACAGCATTCAGTACTGTGTGGTTTCAGGCATCCACTGCAGTCCTGAAATAGATCTCCTACTCATACAGGGAACTACTGTATTATTTCTATTTTACAGATCCAATTAAGCTATAAACCTGCTATGGTTTCTTAAGTGCTATATTTTGTACAAACAAGAGTAAGACAAGGTATCAGGCCCGGCCCGGTGGAGCTTATACTCTAGTGAAAGACAAATATATAAACAACTTTACTACAAGACAGCATATAGTTATAATAATGGCATGAAGTTCAGAGGGAGCCCAGAGATTAGAGAGACGTTACCTGAGTCCTCCAAGTGCAAGGCAGCTGGGTAGCAGTTGGACATGGAAATCATAACACTAGGCTGTCAGTTTGTTGTTTATTTTTTGGTGGAAACAGTCATGTATCTTAAACATGCGGGAAGTTTTATTAATATGGCAGTGCAATGGGGAGTCACTTACTGGCACAGGTATCAGGGTAGTTTTTGAAAATGTGAAATCTTCTGTTGCAGAGGACTGTTGGACTTTGGACTTCTGCCCAAAACGGGAGCGGGGGAAAGCAAGGAGAATCTTTTCCAAACTCCTGATAACTCACAGTTGGGCATGAGGGCAGAACAGAAAATCTGAGCAGAGCACTGGGGTAGACCTCACTGCTGGAACACGACAAACTAGCATTAGTAGAGGAAGACAAGGCATAAAAACACTCCATTTCCTGTTTCCTCTCCAAAGTTTTGGGAATGTGCTGGGTTTTCAGAGAACATAGTTCTGCTAGTCCAGCTAATTAAAATATATTTAAAAAATTTTCTATGTTAACACATGGTCAACACAAACATTTCAAACACTAGGTAAGTGTACGATATAAATATTGGGAGTACCCTACTACTTACTATACTTATTACAGTCTCCTCAACTATAACAGTTGTTATAGTCCTCTAAGTATTTCCTACCTTTAGTCAAGTAGGCATTTACACTATTTTTTTTTTACTCAAATAATGGATGTGTTTCCACAAACTGAATGTTAAAAACACGATTAAAAGTATGGGCTTTAGGAGCGGGGAGATAGCTCAGAATAAGTACTTGCCTGGCGAGTGTAAGGTCCTCAGTTCAATCCCCAGTACCGGAAAATAAATAAATTTTTAAAAAGCATAGGCTTTGAAGCTTGCTACTCAAACCTCCATCTTCCGGGCTGTCCTGATCACAGGAAAATCACTCCTTAAAGCTTCGGTTTTTTATTTTCCTTTTTGTGAGGAATAGAAATGGTAAAAACTTCATAAAGCTGGAGGGTGAAAATAATGTATATAAATCACTCAGCACAGTACAAGGCACATAGTAAGTGTTCAGCGAACATTATTGTCTATAGCAAATGACCCTTCTCATTATAACACTTCAGGAAATGTGTCGCTTTCACATTTGATAACTGCCGTTGCTCATTTTAAAAAAATTTTATCTAAATTGATAGAAACTTGCTTTTCCAAGCCTAAAGCTACAATAAATAACACGTTGGTGGGGGGTTGGTGGGGGTTCCAGCATTTTGTGTGCCAGTTTCCTGCGTTTCCCTGCGGACATCTGGAGTGGACTTCCCACTTAAAAACAAACAAACAAACAAACTTTCGCGATTCCACGGCCTGCCGAGAACGCTCCACTAGGTCAGGTTTTGCACACCCAGCGCAGCTCGCTTCCCCCTCGCTCCCCTCCATACCATCCCGAGATAACAACTGCAACAGCGGGGCGCACCCCTGTGGGAACCCGGGGCATTGGACGGCGCGGGAGCGGCAGCTGGACGCGGCGTGCACGCGAGGTGCGCCCAAGGGGTGCGGGCCGCGGGCTCCTCCGCGCGAACCTGCGCTCGCGCCGCCTCCCCATCTCCGTCCAGGACGACCGTCCCGCCGCCCGCAGCCCTCGGTCCCACCGCCCCACTCCGCGGTCCGGCCTGTCGCCCTCGCAGGCTCTCCTTTTTGGCACTGCCCTTTGCCCTCCATGGAGTCCTCTGTTTACTCTCCCTTCGCTTCTAGTCACCCATAGGTTGCCCTCCCTCTGCCACAGTCACCCATTTTGTCCCCTCGCTCTTCACCTCTCCCGAGGCTGACTTCCCAAAGGACGCGGCCGACGGAGATGCTGCGGGCCCCGCGGCCAGGGTCCGCTCCCCGCAGGAACCCCCGTACGCGTCGGCCCGCGCCTCGGGGGCGCGGGAGGCAAGTTTCCGCCCCGCGCCTTCCCCAGTGACAGCGCCCGGGCGACCGCGGCCGGGGACGCGGAGGGAGGGACTGGCTGGCGGGCCCGGAGCCCCCTCCCCTGCTCGCGCGGTCTGTGTCTCTCGGCAAGTGCGGAGCCGCGGAGGAGGAGGAGGAGGAGGAGGGCGAGGAGGAGGAGGAGGGAGTTGGGGGAGGATCTCCATTGAAATAAACAACCAGGCAGCAGTTATTAGCACGGGAACATGGCGGCCGCAGCCTCAGCTACAGCTTCGGCGGCGAAGGTCAGCGCCGACGGCAGCCGGCACCTGACGGCGTGACCGACCCGAGCCGGTAACCGCGCCTTCCCGGGAGCCGCGGGGGGCGGGAGCGGGCGGGGGGCGATGCGTCCCCACCCCCGGCCGCGGCTGCCCTTCCTGCGCCAGCCGGCGCCGCCGAGCAGGCTGGTTTTTGTGTGCGTGTGTGTGTGTGTGTGTGTGTGTGTGTG